GCCCAGAGCTGGGAGGAGCTGGGAGACAACCAAAGGGGGAAAACTATCTTTTTTGGGTAATGAAAATGCTCTAAATTTGAAAATAGTGTTGGCTACACAGCTCTGAAAATACACTAAAAGGTATTGAATTGTATACTTTAAATGGGTGAATTGAATGGTATCTGAATTATATCTCAATAATATTATTTTTAAAAATCTAATCTTTAATGATATCTTCAAAAAATGTATTCCCCTTTCCTCATGAAACCAGATGACATTCTTCCCAGCATATAATGTATTATAACACTGGAGTGCTAAAACATGCCAAATTTTTCAATCGTCTACAGGCAATTCATTTTTTTTTCTGAAAAAACTAATCTTCCAGTTAGGCAGAAAACAATTTCTTTTTATGACATCCAAACAATAAGAAAACAGAAGCTTTGACCCATCTGGCATAAAAGGTGAGTTAGTCTTTCAACAGCATCAAAATCTAAGAAGCTGATTAATCAGTTTGATCTTCTGTATGTCTTAATCTGATCACTACTGTAAAAATGGTAATAATTAATTTTTAGATATAATTGTTGAAAATTCTCAAATTGATGCTAAGGTACCACTTTAATCTTTATTTGCTTATAACTACATTCCTATTAGCCCAGGAGTCAAATAAGGTAAAGATACTGCTAAGCATGCTAAATAGTAAAAGAGAATAACACAGAAAATCCACCTCTGTAATAAGGAAAGATGTTTGCATGTATGCATAAGTTAATGTGTATTCGTGCAAACAATTAAGTGGGTACAAGTGCCCCGGTATGTTAATGCATTAGTCTGAATACAAGTCGAAGTTAGGTGTCTCATCCTCTTAATTTATTGTTTCACCCTGGGTCTCCAGTATTGTGGAAAAAATTCACACAGGTATACTATTTGGATTCACTGCAAACAATATGGCCCCAACTTCAGCTGGGATCCTACAGTCAATTGAAAAAATCATTTCTGTCTCTAGGCTCTTCCATCTTATACTTTCTACAGTAGCTATAAGCAGTAACTTTTTTTTTTTTCTCTAGATCTCTAGATCTCTACACCTATCAACTCCAAGACCCATCTTTACTGATAAAAAAACAAAACACATAGGCCATAGTATGTCTTTTCCTTCAACCTCCCTTACAAGTTACCTATAGTAGCACTCACCTTTTTTCATTTATCAGAATAGTAATGTGATTCGTTATTTATTGAGTATTTGCCATGTGCTAAGCACTGGGCTGAGTTCTGTATATATAACTAGAGACCCAGTGCGAAGATTTGTGTACCGGTGGGGTCCCTTGGCCTGGCCTGCACCCTCTCACAATCCGGGACCCCTCAGGGGATGTAAGAGAGCCAGTTTCAGCCTGATCACCGCAGGCCAGGCTGAGGGACCACAACCGGGGCTGCGGAGGGTTCACGGGAGGACTCCAGAGCATATCCAGCCCACTTTGCCCAGTCCCAATTGGGGCCAGCTGGCCAGGGAGGGACCACCGGAGGGTTTCAGGGCATGTCTGGCCCATCTCGCCCAGTCCTGATAGGCCAGACCCCAGCAGCAAGCTAACTCACCAGTCAGAGCATCTGCCCCCTGGTGGTCAGTGTGCATTGTAGCAACTGGTCAAACGGTTGAACAAATGGTCGGACACTTCGCATGTTAGGTTTTCATTATATAGGATAATTAATTTAGATCCCAGGACAATCTTATAAGACCAGTATTTTTGGTCCCATTTTTTATACTGACAAAGTGAAGATCAGGGGAGCTAAGTAATTTGTCTAAGGTTTGTAGGCAATGAGTGGAAGAAAACAGACAGAAATCCAGGTCTGGCTATAACCATATCACCCTGTCCCTGAAAAGTGTTCTAACTAATGATGCCTGTCCCAAGACCTCCACTTCCACCCAGACACGCCACGTTCATAGGTTAGCTTCACTACTGTAAAATCTTTCTCTTTCCTTGCCAGTATTGAGGAAAAAAATATCTAAATTGCTATACTTAACTCAAAAACATGGGTTATACTCTTTGGATTTGCATTTAAAAATAGATTTTTCATAATAGTATATATGTATCTCTATATTAGTTACATTAATAAATTTTAAACCAAATGTAAATAGATGGTTCAGATCTTAAAAACATGTGGGAATGAAAGACTAAATGACTTCTACTGAGCTTCCAAGAAAAACTGAAAATACCAGGTTACGCTCATAAGTTATCATCTCCCTCTTCCTGTTCATCTACAGAGTGTGTGTGTGAGGAGGGCGGAGATGAAATTTCCTACTTCTTAACTTTGGCAGAGAAAGGTAGAAAGCAGTTTAGCAACAGAGGCAGGCAGAGCTAATGTTTCTTAAGAACTGTGTCTTCTCTTTAATGGTCCTGACAAATATAGGTCCTAATTGGCTTCAATGAGTTTTCTCAGGTGACTTTTAACAAAACTTCAGGCTAAGTTTTTAATGGCTCATCCTAAGCCATATGATTTATTGTGCTGCTTACATACAAGTTTAATTCCCTACATCCACAATGAATTTAATTCTTTTTCTTAAACTGTTAAGAATGAACTTCAAGGCCTGGCTGGGTAGCGCAGTTGGTGAGAGCATTGTCCCAATCAAAGGTTGCAGGTTCCATCCCTGGCCAGGGCACATACAAGAAGCAACCAATGAATGCATAAATAGGTGGAATGACAAACTGATGTTTCTCTCTCTCTCTCTTTCTCTCTCTCTCTCTCTCTCTCTCTCATCGGCCTTCCTCTTTCTCTCTAAAATCAACAAATAAATATTTTCTAAATAAGAATGAATTTCAATATTGTAATCACCATGCAAATAAATACTGGAGTATGACTTGTTCAATATTTTATTCCCTGGATCTATACAGATTACATGCTCAATAGAGAATTTTGTGCGGCCTATTATGCCTTTTAATAAAATCTCCCTGGAACACTTACATGAATTTGTTGCTTTGAATACTATGATATAAAAATTTAGAGGCTATACTATCTTTAAGCTTAAAATTAGTTTGTTTTTACAATATTCAATTTGAATGTATTTTAAAGCAGTTTTAAAAACATTTTTCTCGCCCTAACTGGTTTGGCTCAGTGGATAGAGCATCAGCCTGTGGACTAAAGGGTCCCAGGTTCAATTCCGGTCAAGGGCATGTACCTTGGTTGCAGGCACATGCCCAGTACGGGGTGTGCAGGAGGCAGCTAATCTATGTTTCTCTCTCATTGATGTTTCTGACTCTCTATCCCTCTCCCTTCCTCTCTGTAAAAAATAAATAAAATATATTTTTTTAAAAAACAAACATTTTTCTCATCTCTTTTGATTCAAAATCAACCAAATAGTGAAAAAAAATAATTCGTGTCTTTTAAATGTATATATATATATATATCAACATCTTTTATATAGTACTAGAGGCCCGGTGCACAAAAATTTGTGCACTCGGGGGGGAGGGGGAGGGTTGGGGCCCTCACCCCGCCC